TGTTTTTTTTTTTTTTTTTTTTTGCATATGCACCTATGTTTCTTTCCTTCATCCAAAGTTTTCTACATGATGAAACTGACTTGTCTGAGACTGTCGTTTTGATTTTTCTGTTTCAGCTTTTAGGGCGCCTGCAATACCTCCCCGGTTTTTTTGTTGTGTTTTCTGTGTCCTTTTCATGCCAAATGACGTCAATGTTATTTTTAGTACTAGGTGATAGAGTCTATATATTTTGTATCTGAAATCTTGCTAAAGCCCCATTTTACTCAGTTAGAACTAATTTCCTGAAGTTCTAACCTGTCAATTGTTTACACAGGTAATTTTTTGCTGAGTGATAGGCATATCTTTATATGCTTCCCGCCTCCTTTCCACTGACTAATTAATGAATGCTGCAAAGTGCAGTTCTGCATGGACTTTGTTCTCTGTGGGAGTTAAATCTGAGGGCTTAATGTGAAGCATAACAAGTTCTTCTGACTTATGCTGTTTAGTGTATAATAGAACTGGAATCCAGACCAGAGCTTCAGATACCTTGACTCTTCAAATCTTGCAAATGCTGTAAAAATCCCTTCTCTTTAGATACAGGTGAAGCTGAGCAGGTAGTTATATCTACAGGGCCCATGGGTGCAGCCAGGATGCCTAGGGAGAGGACTCCAGAACAGTGTGGGCAGACACATACAAAGCGAGTGAAGGTGACGGGCACTGGTGGAAGAGTCCACTTAGCAGTTGCTGGGCTCAGATCTCAGTCACCAGCGGTGCCACCTGGAGCAGCGCTCATCATGGATGCAGCTTTTCTCTGATGCCTCAGAGCGGTTTGTGCTGGCACCATGAACTTTGTTTATCCTCTTCATTACCTGGAGCTAATATCCATAGTGGGAGCCTTCCCACTTGGAATGTGAGGCTGTTCAGTGGAGAGCAGGAGAGGGAACTGGAGTGACATCTGTGCTTCTTCCTGGAAAGAAGTAATAAAGGCCTGAATAGAGACCAGCAGAAAAAGATTGCTTGCGAATTTCTGGTGCTCTCAGTTAGATGCTGGAAAGGAAAACAAGAAAAGCAAAGCCATCGACATTGACCAT